GATTAAAAACATTAACCCCTTATAGGATCATGTGGCAGTACTCTGAAGGGTTCTAGGAGTAGCATGCATCAGTGCTGATTGGTCTTTCTGTGATACATAAAATAATGTGAATTTCCCATACTAATTTATAGGTTTTTGGTGTAAGCAACAAATTATCAAACTAAAGTGAGCTGTGTACCAAAAACTTGGCCTCCATCAGGAACAAAATTTACTTTTAAAAAGTTGCAGTCCCAGTGCATGCGGGCTCATAAGCTTTGTGAATGCTGGGTACACTTTTTCAAAATACACCCCCATTGCTTTGCACAGTAGGCTTTGTAGGAATGGAAGCTGCAGCGTAAACCCTTCGCACTGGCCAAGTATTCCCGCTGTCATCCAGTTCTCTGCTCTTTGTGCTGACCAGAGGGTTGGGATACTGGGTGCCAGCAGGAAGCGTTCGTATCCTGCCTTTTACTGTGCTTTCTGTCCTCGCAGCACAGGGAGACTTGGCTCAAATCCCTCTGTGAGAGTGCATTATGAACTTGCGGAGAACAGAACTATATGACTGAGAAGATGCCACGTGATAAAAAGCAGGGTATCAAAGTAAGATCAAAACATGCTGATAACATAAATGACATTTTTTAAATAATCAAAGATCGCAGATCTTGCTGTCTGTAACCAAACAGGCTTTTTGACTGAAACGGCACTGTAGAAGTCAAACAGTGTCACAAAGAATTGCAAATTAAATTCCTCAGCTCAGCATGATCTGGCCTAGTACAAACAGTTTTTGCTTAAAATAGATGAACAGAGGTGGGTTCATCCCAGCAGTCATTTCATTCTGCTACAAAGAATCCATACAAAATCAGTTTTTCTCCTTGAGCTGGTGGTAGAACTGTGCACAGGGATACAGGAGCCATGCATCTTCATTCACAAGGGAAAATCTCCACGTTCCACATGGTGGGGGGGATAGGTTTTTTTATTGGAAGATATTTCCTTTTCTACTGAAAACCTTGACATGTAGTGAGAAAAACAAATCCTTTTATGTTTGGGTTTTCTTACAGAAAGCCAGCATTGCTGTATAGGAAAAAAAAAAAAAAAGAGAAGCTTGGAATTTTTCAACAAAATGTTTGCTACTAATCGTGGTAGGATGGAAAGTGGCGAGGACAGAGCAGCAGAGGTCAGTAACCAAACACTCTCTAGCCCTAGCCCCCTCTGCTCCCCATCTAGAATCACGGTCTATCTCGAGTTGGAAGGGACCCATAAGGATCATCGAGTCCAACTCCCTGCTCCTCGCAGGGCTACCTAAAACGAAACCTTAGGACTAAGGGCGTCGTATGTATGCATGTAACTTCCTGTAATACAGGATTTAACTCAATCCAACTTCTCTACTGTTTTATTTATTTTGTATTTAATATGTGTTATATTTACTACATAACATTATATAATCGTGGCGGTATATTAAGCATAAGCATAGAAGGGAGCTGTATTCCCGCTCATTTTCAAAAACTACAAGGCTTTTTTAACAGCAGCTTAGCAATCAACCCAATCCTGAATGCCGTGGGCAGCAGTGAAGCCCATGCCTTCTGGGTTTTGGCTCTGTTGTACAGTCTTCATTGTACAAGATTGTTAACAAGCATGGTGCAATATTCTTGTGACAGCTTTGATTTGTTGTGGCCATCACGCTTGACAAAGAAGTGTGTACATCAGGAGTGGTGTACGGCCAGCCACCCAGGACGGCCAGGTGGATTCTTTTTGGCTGGTATAAAATAACCATTAGAAATAGAAAACCGCTAGCTGTCTCCACAGTCCTGCAGGGTACGTGTCCTACGGACCTCAGAAGTGTTCGCGCCTTGCTGAACTCAGCCCCTTGTATTCGTCATACATGCACAATCTATTGTGTGGTTTCTAGCTTCTGTGGGTTTTGCCTCTTCAGAACCATGTAATTTTAGCACAGTTTATTTACTTTGGAAAGAAATAGGCAGTAATTTCAAAATACCTTAAGTACCTCTTGAGAAGTGCAGAATTATACGTTTCATCTTGTCAAAGTGAGTAAAACAGAAGGCTCCTTAATTCTTTTACTTTTTCTTTTGTTGTAATATGGCTTAAAAATAAATAAATGTAAATACTGCATGCAAAAACAATGCTGTTGCATTAAGCTAGCAACTAAAAACTTCTACAATATCATAACAAACCATCCTACCTGTAGCATTCATAAATAAGTGAATGAAAGTAAGTGATTTTAAAAGCTAGTTCAGAACTACCTCAATCTCCACGCTGACCACTGACACCTACGTCTCCTTTCTGCCTTGAGTGCAGAATGTACTGTAAGCAGAAGACATTTCCTGTTATTTAGTTTTTCAGGAACAACCTGATGAAATCCACATTTCTATAAATGAAAAGCCACTTTCTTCTCAATAACTTAATCGGCATTTTTGAACCGTGATAAATAATTTCCACATTCTGCAAGCATACATTTCCTGAGCAATATTCAGCACTTATAGAATGCTACTTAACAGGAGCTGAAAGAATGTAAAGAGTTTTTTTAGTATTTTAAGGAAGAACTCAGCTGCTTAAAAGGACGATATTCGTAACGTATTGCTTGGAATTAAATCTATAGAAATTTAATACTAAGCACAAATGTTTTGGGGTTTTTGGTGGGGGTTTTTTTTAGTTAATGTAATTTAAAAATAAATATCCTAAATCACCCTCATGGGCTCATCAGGGAAACCAGCTTTTCTTGGTCTGTCTTCACGACGAGTTCTCAGAATCTGTTTGGCGTCTTTTTCAGTCAAAATTGGTGAAGTGTCTAAAGACAGAAAAGCAGAAATTAGTTCTGAAATTACCAAAAAGTTAATATTTTATCTGTCAGTTGTAAAATGAAATGTCTCCAAACCTGATTTTTGTCCATATACAAAGTGTTCTTTCATTACAGCCCCTTCCCAGGGGATATTGCATTCCAGGAGATATGAGTGGAATTTTAAACCATTTTTATACTTGCGCTTTCTATAGTTCTACCAGCATGAAGTAAACCCTACATATTCATGTTACTCTCTGAAGTGATAAAATATAACAGCACCATCTAACCACTGACATTAGTAACTCTTCCAATTCTTTCTTCTTTTCTGTGTTGCATTACTTTTTAGGATTATTTTTCAAAGTAATGAGTTAGACTTTTGTTGCAAAGGAGAGATTGCATTGAGCGTTTAGATTGCAGGACCTTGGTAAAATAATATTAAAATAGTAAGCTTGTAAAATAAAACTTTTTTTGTTTTAGAATACATTACTACAGTGTGGTAATGCAGAGAGTAAAATATCTAATACAATAGCATAATTGTTAAAAATCAAATCATGGAAAGCCTGCAATATAAAAATAGTTAAGTATTAAAAATGAAATAAGAAGATACTGAAATACAAGGCTGACAAACTAATACCATTATAATATGCTCTGCAGCTCTACATATATACACAGGTTTGTTTTATATAAACTCCTACCTGTAGAAGTGGTCATGAGGACCAAAAAGAAGACAACCACAAGTAAGTTCTTCATTTTGATTCTGCTTTCTCTCAGTCTGTTCCAAAATGAGTAACGCTGACCGAGGCATTAGCCTATTTGAAGTAGCTACGTCAGTCACAAATGTTTGTTTATGCTTTAACTAATTTGAGTGATAGTATGATTTTGAAGACATCTGGCCTGAAGTTTTGAATATGGCTATTATCTGCTCACATTCTCAGCATAACTCTGTTCCTGAGGGAAAGAAAATAGAAGACCATTTTTCCACTTCAGGCTTCAGAGTTACACTGGATATTTTAAATTTGTGAAAATGAAACACGTGACTTTACATCTAGCATAGCAAGCGATGGTTTTGCGTGCCTAAGATAAACGATTGTTTTTTAAAAGAAACAATTGCCCGTTCCTGAATGTTAATCTCAAAGGCAGCCGCAAAGGAGCCCCTTTGTCAAAAACTGTCTCTAACTTTACTCCAGCGCGGAAGTACATATTAATGTGGTTTAACTCTAGCAGAGCCAAAATATCACTGCTGGAAAACAAAGCAGAGAGATTTTTATCAAATTAATAGAATCATACAAATGAAAACTACATAATTCTTCTCTTTTCAGGACAAGCTAGTAGAAAACAGAATTATAAATGTCCTTGCTAATAAACACAGTGTGACCTAAGAATGTAGGTTAACAACTGTAGTTGCAAACAGCTAGTTTCTGCCTTGCCAAACGTAACTCCGGACCTCTCCCGAGCAGCGTATGCTGGACACACCGCACCAGCAACACCAATTTGTAGGAAAAGAAGTAAGTGTCCCTTTGAGTATAGCGCATGAAATAAGGGGTCAGAATCCATCAGCAGCTCTCGCACCAGGGATGTGAGTAATTAGCATTTCCCCTCCGAGGGAAAGGTGCAGCGCATCCCCGGCCATTCACCCAGGGTTTGCCAGCTTGGCTCTGAGCAGGGCTCTTCATTTGTGCTTTTTTATTTCCTAAAGAAGTGGTTTTTATTCTGCCTGTGCCACTACGCACAAGTCAGCCAGTTTCCATGAAATCTGGCAGGGAGCTGTGGGTCTCAAAAACGTTAAGATACAGAAGGGTTCAAGAAATCAAACAGCAGGTCGGAGGGAGAGGCTGTGAATGCCGCCTTGGACGGACACCTTCAGGTGCGCTTAACTTCGGTAAACACCGGAGGCTGCAACCCCGAGACAGGTCTCCTTAGGCAGCCGGGCTGGATTAGCTCAACTGCTCGCACAATTATTTATGAGTTTATAAAAATCTGACAGAATCATGGGCTAAAACGGCGAGCGCTGTAGGTGTGAGGGCTTGACCGGAGCGAAAGCAGGCGATGGAAACGAAGCAGTTCAGGGCTTGGGCTGTTCTGACGTCCCGTTACGGGACTTTTGGAAACCGAGGATTGCCGAACTGTGGAGCATTTGCATTTTTCAGCATGTGTTTTAAGATGCCAACAGCCTAAAATGCAAGAACTGTTACGTGTACTGTATGGATTTATGTAATTGTTCGAGATACTGTTCAAGAAACCGGTAGTTTCTAATAGCAGCAACTATTTATGTTTAGAACTGCTACAGGGGAAACAGTATAACGTGTGAGGACAGAACGAAGTCGGGGGG